ATATATATATATATATATATACTGTTGAATTTGTATATTTTTGGAATTAAATATTTTGAAACACATAGAGAATTATTCACGTCGCAGGTCGGATGATCCACGTGATTGCCGGTCGTATTTCTCAAATGTGGATCGTTATTAAAACATTAATCGCAATGGGTGGCGGAAAAGGGTGAGAGAACAGACGTGTCAGAGAAAGCCGAAATAAAAATATCAGATTCGAACGACTCTTCACTGGAACTTTACGGTATGTCTTATCCTGTTTACGGCGCCTCTCGTCGTAAACGCAGGATTGTTTCGCCCGTTATTTTCAGCTTTATTTTAAAGAGTACAACGCAGCGCCCTTAGTTTGCATACCCGATAACAGCGATCATTTTTTTTTCACGATATCTGGAAATTAGTGGAATTTGCCGGCAGCGTCGAGAAGTATGATTTAAAGTTAATCTTATGTTAGGTATAATGTATGTTTTCAAATTACGATAATTTATGATACGAAGTTTTATGTGTAAATTTTATCATTTACGACACAAAAATGAGTAAATGGAGTTTTTAATAATCTGTAGAAGCTTTTAGATCGATGACGTATATATTTAATAACAACATATTAGCTATATTATACCGTATTATACTGTAATTAATAGGTAATTATAAATCCTAAATTATTTTGCACTTTATGTTATATAATGTATTATTATACAATATATAATTAAATTTTTTATTATATATCGTGCAATTTTATAATTTTTATATAACGAATATAATTTCCTTTATTAATTATCATTATTTGAAACACGGTTTATGAAAATATACTTTATGCAACATTATAACAATCGAGTAAATATATAATTATACACGAGACATATTGCTCTTTTTACGAAAGAAAATATTTGATAATATTCTTGTTTATTGTAGCTATTACAATGATAATACATTTCAATCATTGGTATACGTTTCTCGTGTAGCGAATGTATACACACGCACGTGAAAAGGGTTGACAGAATGCCGGAGTAACAGTCTCATAAACAATTAAGCGCTGTCGTGGATGCGAATCCGGCCACGTGTTTCTCTCTTCATCTTTTTCCTTCTGTCTTTATATCTCTGTAGTACAGATACTTCTGTGCCCACGAGAAAATTATTTTCAGTAGCAGATGATTAGAAGGCATGGATTTTGGT